TTCTTTCTCTCCCTCTCCCTTCCTCTCTGAAATCAATGAAAATATATTTTAAAATATAAAAATAAAAACTTAACCCTAAAAAGGGTGAATTTTCCTGTACGTAAATTATACCTTAAAATGGGAGGAGGAGAACAGGTACAGAAAGAACACACTAGATAAATCTTTAAAAAAAAAAGTTTCTTGACAGAGATGACAAGCCCTGGAGCATTCTCCTAAAAATACAGCATTCCTTCCCCCAGAGTGAGTCCTCCCCTGGAAGCTGGTGTCTGGCAGCAGCAGGTGATGCAGCCACTGCTCGCCCTCTGCAAAACCTGGGAGCATCAGGTCTCCACCCATGGAGCTTAAGTTGCCTGCTCAGGCTCTCTTCCTTCCGTCCTCCAGGTGGCTCCCAACAAGTCTGCTTTTCCCAGTTCCTGCCCCTCCTGGCAAGGCTTTGGTTCAGACTAGGAGTGGCTACATCATTTGCAGGCCCCAGAGCAAAATGAAAATGTGAGACCTCTTATTCAAATATCATTAAGAAGTTCAAGATGGCGATAGCAGAAGACGGCGTGAAGTGTATGGCCCTTCTGAGCATGGGACCCTGCACGACCACACAGGTCACACACACATAAAGCTAGTCCTGGATCTGGCCCTTCCTCTTGGCTGCCAGAGGGACCCACCCACAGTCACAGGAAATGAAGTCTTCCTATGTCAGACACAACCCTCCCCCAGACTTGCCCCACACTTCCCTGTGTCCAAGCCCAGGCCCATCCTAGATGCCCTTATTCCATGCTACTCCTGAGGAAATCCCCCACCTCCCCTCCTCCTCAGAGAAGTTTACCCTGTGTTAAAGGAAAAAAATTACACCAGCCTGTGACGCAGTGGTTAGAGCATCAGCCCCAGGCACCAAAGAGTCACAAGTTCGATTCCTGGTCAAGGGCACGTACCTGGGTTCAATCCCTTCCCTGGTTGGGGTGTGTGCAAGAGGCAACCAATCGATGTGTCTTTCTCACATCAATGTTTCTCTCTCCAAAAATATCAATGGAAAAAATATCCTCAGGTGAGGATTAACCACCACCCCCCACCCAAAAAAAAGAAAGTTACTCATGCCACTTGGTGGTGGTAAGAAAGACTTTATTCAAGAAGGGGTACAGCGATGAGGATCTGTAATAGGGGACAGAGAGTGGGCTCAACTCCAAAGACGACAAGGAAAAGTAGAATTTATAGCCAAGGAGCAGACTGGGGATCAGTGGGTGGAAAACTACTAAGAGAAAGCCTCAGGGGATGGGGGGCATTCTAGCTAAGTAGGCCTCACGGGGTTCTTGCTGAAGGCAGGCCAGTGATGAGACGTCACCTTAAGGATGGTGGAAGATGAGGAACCAGATTAAATGTGGAGGATGGTCCAATATGATGGGCAATTCTGGCTAAACTTAGAATTCTTGCTAGAATTGGGCTGTAAAAGGTCGGGCCTAGTCAACAAGAGCTCAGAAGACCTTAACCAACTCTGACTCGGTTGGGTGTCGTCCAGCGCAGCAGTCGCTGGTCAGGACACATGCCCAGGTTTCGGGCTTGATCCCCGGCAGGGGGCGTGTAGGAGACAGCCGATCAAGGTTGGTTTGTTGTTAACCCTCACCAGAGGATATTTTTTCGATCAATGTTTTGCTCTCTCATCGATGTTTCTCTCTCTCCCTTCCTCTCTCTCTAAAAAACCAATTAAAAAAAAAAAGAGCCTAACCAAAGTTAGGTCAACCTTTGTCACCCCCACACCATCACCTGGAGTGATAAGTGAACCCGCTCTCTTCTGAACTCCCGTGGCACTCCCACCTCATCTCACATGACATACTTCACTTTTGTTACAAGAAACAGCACATTCTTTTTCTTTTCTGAATCCAATGGAGGGCTAAACCATGACCCACTGGGTGGTGGATTGCCACTGTGGGGCCTGCGTCATCTTTGGAGAAAGGATTGCTAATACCTAGCCCCCCAGACAGAGAAATTTATTCCCACACTCCCAGACAGGCTCCCTCTGCCTCCTTCACTCTGACTTCATTGCCATATTTGCACTGTCCTTTGTCTCCTGCCTGACCTGGTCACTACACAGCTATGTGTGTTGTCTCCTTCCTCCACCCACAGGGAAGGGCCAAGAAGGCAGAGGCCATGGCCACCTTAGCTCCCTCACCTGGGAACCACGCCAGGCCCTGAGGGAGGCAGCAATACATCACTGTGCAGTGAATGGCGCCTGGCTCTGGAGCCCTGGAGCTTGATAAACCTGGTTCACAGCTGATGCCCATGGGTGAATGAACACTCAGAGCAGGAACCTTCCCCACCTGCCCCCAGCTCAAGTGCAAGTCAATCAGGGAAGAGGTCTGGTCTTTCTTGACTCCAAAGTCCCCCAGTGCTTTCTGGGGTTTGGAGCCAGAGCCACTCTAGTGACAAAAACAAGACATGGCTCTGCCTGGGCAAGGCCTGCAGCCCAGGGGAGACAGAGGTGAATGGAAACCAGCAGCACAGAAAGCTGGTGGAGAGGCATATGGGGGCTGTGGGCACAGGGAGGGGGATGATTGCCCTCTGAGTTCAGAAAAGGCTTCCCTGAGGAGGCAAGATCTGAGCACGTGAGGAGGCTCCGCCTACAGGAGGAGGGCCCAGAGGGCTGCTGGGGTCAGAAGGGGCACCACTATCAGTGACTCAGGGGCTAAACAGCCAGAGGCCTCAAGCGAAAGGCTGAGGGGCCCAGGGAGCAGCTGAAAGGCATGACACTATCTGAGCTGAGAAAAGGAGACCAGGGGCAGGGAGCCCAATGTGGTGGACTCACCACAGTTCTTAAGAATTGGCTGCCTGGGCCTAGTCTGCTGGTGGATGGGGGCCTGACGGGCCTGTCAGGGGCCAGAGGGAGGAGCTGCCCTGAAGCAGAAGTCACTACAGTGGCACCTGTAATTGTCTGGCCCCAGAGCCCTAGAGCCACTGAGCTGGCTTGGGGACTGGGAACTGGTTCGCCAGGCAGGGATGAGCTAATAGGGATCAGGTTCCCTTTGAGACACCCAGCTTGGCTCTCTTGAGCCCTCCCCCTACATCTGGGCCTGGTCTTGGTTTCTGGCATAGCTGCCAAGTTTTGGTACCGCCCACCCACTCCCCACTGGCAGTACTGGCCGACCCAGCTTTCTAATTGCTGGGTGAGGAGCTGTTCCACAGAGGCGGTACACGGAAAAGTGGACCCTGGCCATTGTGGGGCATGTGGGCACCTAGCCTGACCAGTTCCAGGCCTTGGGGAGGGAGTGGCCCAGACTTCAGGCCAGCAATCAGCTGTAGGGGGGACGGGCCCTCTGGAGGACCATTGGCCTAAAAACCTTGGTTTAGAAGGGTCCAAAATGGATACTAAGGCCTGTGGGGAACAGAAATGCCTAACCCAGGTAGTCCCTCTCCCTCCCCAGGCTGAGGGGTAGACCTTAATGTGTCTCAGTTAGACCCAGGGGTCTGTCCCAGCCACAGGTTCTGCCCAAGCCTAGCCAGCTAAAGGGGCTGGAGCTGGGGGGAAAGTGTTGGGGCGGAGGGAGTGGCAGGAAGCAGCCCAGGAGCCCCAAACACACCCCCCTGACACACCCACCACCCACCTCCACACACACCTGCCACTCACAGGGCCAGATACACCATCGCCTTGGCAGTCAACTCACACACCCCTCTCCACCCTGAAAAGGCAGGGCACACTGGCTCACTCTACAGCCCAATCCACACCCCATACACAGGCCCCACCTGCTGGGGCCTGAGTGGCTGCCAGGCTTGGTCAGGGGGGTGGGGCGCAGCTACAGGGAGCAAACTGGGGAATCTCTGCTGAGAAGTCCTCTGAGGTTGTGCCTGCCCCACCTGCACTGGGAGGGGAGAAGTCTCTGTGTGCGCTGCCTCCCCTGGGGCAGAAAGATTCAAACCTGAGCCCCCGTGCCCTGGCAGCCTAACTGTGCCTGGCAGAAGGGAAGCCCTCAATGCGTGGCAGTAGTCACAATGATTCACCAGTAAGGACGCCTATCTTCACCACAAGGTGTGAGGAGACGCCACTTGCATAGGTCACCCATCCAGGAGGGAGCAAAGGCCAAGGGGAAGCCAGATGTCTGAGAGGCAGGGGCTGCATTCCAGAATACAAATCAGCTCCTATCTCACCATGCTTAAAAATATTCCATGGTCCTTCATGCCTGTGGAGAAATGTCCACATTCCTTGCAGTGGCAAAGGCCCTTTACCCACTGATTTACAAGCCTTCTCTGCCTGTCTCTGGCACTTTCCCAGGGGCCTCATCCCTATGGAGGGAGGGGTGCACCACAGCCAGACAGAAAGGTGAGAGGTGGGCTCTGGGAGGGACAGGTCCTTACAGGAGCCTTAGGGAGCTCCAGCAGAAGCTGTCTTAGGCTGGCCATAAACCCAGCAGGGGCCTGGGCACTGGGGCTCAGACTTCCCACCAAGAGAACGTTTCATGTTCTAGCAATGCCTTGGGTGATCCACCCTTTTGTTTTCCTGGGTTCCCTGGCATTGTTCCTTCTGAAAAATCCCACTGGTGCTCAAGAAAGGAGTTTCAGCCCACATGGCAACTAAGGAACCATGTGGTGCTGGGGTAATGAGGAAGACTCCTCCACTTGCCAACATACGTGCCCCGCAGCTGTGCACACAGGAACTGGGCACACCCTCCCACTGGCCAGGACCACAGAAGGAGCTATAGCCCAGGTCCACGGCCCCCAACCCCGGCCATCTTGATTCTCTAGACTTAGGCTGGGGACAGACCCAACATATCATCCAGGGCCTCCTCATAGAAAATGTGCTTTTATTCTGGGGGAGGCCAATGTTCCTTTCCCAGCCTTTCTCCCTCATGCCTGCCCGTCGGCAGTCTGCACCTTGGGCACCTCATCTCCTAGTCTCCCTTCCCTAGGGCCACACCTACTCCAGGAGCAGGCTGGGCCCTGCAGGAGTACTTCTCAGCCGGTGGGCCTGGCCCTGGCTCCTGTGGTTGGCACTCTATCCAGCCCACAGCCCCACTGGGATCCCTCCTCTCCGTGAGCCTCCCCATCCCTGGCTGGCTTCAGCGGATTCTGCCCCAGACTAATGTCAGGAAGGAGCCGGCCATCTCAGGGCAAGCTTGCCCAAGCCATCTTCTGACAGTGCTTCTGCTGTCAGCTTGCTCCACTGGCCTCAGATCTTGGAGGATTCAAGCCGAGGGCTCCAGGGTGCAGGGGGCTCCCGCAGTGCCTGCAGCTCCTGTTCCAGTGCCTGGTTGCGGCGGTACATATCCATGTAGCCCCCCTGGATCTCTCGCTGATAGCGCAGCACCCGCTCCTTCTCCTCCTGCCATGTCCTCCGCTCCTGCTCGAAGCGTAGTGCCTGCTCTTGGCCTCGGAGTCGCTCCTGTAGCAGCTCGGCCCGAAGCTGCTCAGCACCATCTCCAGCCTCACTGCCTCCTGCCTCCCCCAACAGCCCACGGCTCTTGCAGTCATCGGTCTCACAACTACCTGGGGCTTCCTCCCGAGGGGCCTGCTCCTGCAGGCTCCGCACAGCCTCACGCAGCCGGGCCAACTCTGCATCCTGGGCCTGGGCTTGTGCCCGGCTGCCCCGAAGTTGTGTCTTTAGGCTGAAGATCTCAGCCAGCTTCTGTGCCAGCTCGGCCTGGGCCTCCCGCAGCTGCTGCTTCAGGAGGCTAATCTCCGCTGTCTTCTGGCACACCTGGAAGAGGGCACAGCATGGGCAAGAGCCAAGCAAAGCTGGGTCTGGATGGGGGTGGGTAGAGGAGGGGACTATAGAAATGGGGACAGGAGAGTTCCTGAGTGCCTGGGCTCTCACCTCCCATCGCGCTTCTTCCTCTGGCCGAGTGCTGGAATCAGCTTCTGGGGGCCGAGGCTCAGCAGCCAGGCCCTGCTGTGCCCGCAGCTCCTTGCGCAGGCGACGCTGTTCCTGCTGGGCCACAAACAACTGTAGCTGGAGGTTTCGCTCGCTGCGCTCAGCCTTTTGGGCCACTTCGTGCAGCCGCTCCAGGTATAGGCGCTTCAGCTCAGATAGCCACAACCTCTGGCGCTCCTCTAGCACCTGCCAAGGGAAAGAGGTGCCTGATAGCCGCAGCCAACATCTTGTGCCCGAATACCATAGGATCCAGGGCCCAACACCCTGGCCACACATGTGCCCCACCCTGGGATGCCCTCCAGAGGTGAAGCGTCCAAGAAATATACCCCCCAACCCCTCACCAGGGAGTTTCTCCCTCCCTCTTACACAACTCCAGCAAGAACTACCATCCTGACATCCCACTACGTTGGGTGGGGGGAGAGGAGCTGATTCATCTCCTTCTTTCTCTCTTGTGCCCAGAGGCAAGTGGGTGAGCTGGCTAGGGAGTACTCCAATGCCAAGGGATAGAACAGGGCCCCCAGGACAGAGGCTGCCCTCACCTGTGTGAAGTGATTGGCGCCATCCTCGTCACTGAGGCCCCTCTTGAGATCCTCACAGGTGTCAGGAAGCATGGCCACCACCTCCTCGGCAGTGGGACAAGAGAACTCGTAGGGGGGTGGGGGCTCAGGCAGGCAGCTCAACACAGCCAGCGGCCCAGCCTCCTTTGGACTCCGAGAGGCACGGTCCAGGGAGCCCCCAAGGTGGTTAATGTGACCCAGGGAGGAACTGAAGGGGCCAGGGCCCATGCCAGGACTTCGGCTAAAACTGCCCCCACTGGAGGAGTCAGACAGGCTGGGCTCGGGTTCGGGGCCGCCCTCATCCAGGCTGAGGGCATGCAGCAGCTGGGCACGGGCCTGTGCCTGGCTGGCCCGGGGCCCCGGGCTCAGGGGTGGGTGGCAGGCCAGAGTATGCAGGCTGCCGTTGCTGCGCCACAGCTTCTGGCCTTTGTGGGCTGCCAGGCTCTGCATGGACAGGAAGCCTTTCCCAGTACCCGCCACAGGCTTGAACACCGATGGGCGAATACGGCACTGCCAGGAAGAGAGAGCAAGTGTGAGGCCCTGCGCTAATTGCAGTGCCCTACGATGCTCCCACAGCCCCTACAGATCCTTTTAGACATGAGGCGCATGCCACCGGGAAGCAGTGACCAAGCCTCAGGAGAGTCCATAGCGTGACTTTCAGGTCCAAGCCCTGTCTCAGCATTGAGATCTCCAAAGAGGCCCCAAGCTCCCCATTCCACCCTCCCACCCTAGGGAGGGGTGTGGGCAGAGGTGCACCTTGTCGAAACGTCCCCGCTCAGGCAGCGAGGTCTTGCTGAAGTCACCAGCCCGGGGATGTTCCTGGTAGTAGAGGGTGGCATAGTCGGCAGGCTCGTTCCGAGCAGCCCGCTTGGTGGTCTTGCTGTCTTTCTTGGGGAGGTGCAAGTAGCTGAGGAGTTCACGTTGGCCCAAGCCCTTCCGGAACAGCCCATCTGGCTGGCGGGAGCCTCGGGACCCCTCAAGTGCTGCCCGTAGCTCTTCGGGGGAGAAGTCCTGCCGTTCCAACAGGCTGCCCACGCTGCCCATGGCAATGCCAGCAAGGCTGGGGGCTGTGGCCATGAAGTTTCAACGGGGCACAGGCAGCTGCTTCTAGGGATCAAGAGGCTCCATCAGGGGCAGGTGGGTGCTTGCTGCCCACCTGCCCTTGATACCTTAAAATCAGGTGCTTATTCTGTCAGCTCCTGATCTGGCCCAAGCCCAGAAGAGGCAGAGTGGGTATCGAGAGAATCCAGGACAGAATTCCTAGGCTGGCAAGAAAAAGGGGTACAGGCCCTAAAGTCACCTGCCCCGTGCCCCAGCACCAGCTAGAAGCTGGTGTGTGATTGGGGGGAGGCACTGAAACAGCAGGACTGGGCAAGCTCAGGACCCAGGCTCTGACTGACTATGACCTTGCTCACTCTCCTGCTGGGCTCCCCACACAATTTGGGAGGTGGGCGGTGGGCAGAAGACTCAGGGAATTGGGGCCAGCCGCCTCCAACACTCCATTTCTTCTTCTTTTCTTGGGAGAGGGGAAACCCAGTTCAGCCCTCTTCCTGCAGAGAATGAGTTCCCCAAGGGAAGCACCTGGCATGGGTGGGGTTGACCAGGCAGCAGGGGATACAAACAGGAAGGACCTGAGGGGAGGAAGGATGGAGGGAACAATGGTCGGTTTCCGGAACAGGTGTTCACCTTGGGCCATGACGAGAGGCAGGGAGAAGGGGCAGCTGCGGCGCCTGCTGGACCTTACATATACTGCCACTCTAGAGCCCCCAGGTGTGAGGATGGGGTGGTCCCTAAATCCTGACCCAGCATGGAGCCAGTCAGTGTGTAGGGCCTGGTCTCCTCATTTGGAAAGTGGCCTTGACAACTCATCACTCAGGGATGTACAGAGAAAGGGCTAAGATAACAGCACAAAGTGCCCAGTTGGCAGCGAGGGTCAATGCAGGCTGACCAGAGCAGAGCTTACCTGGTCATACACATGAACACTACTGGTGGGCGACCGAGTGACCAGGTTCCCACCTGTGCTGGGACCACACAGTGGAGGGTGGGACCTGACCCTAGTGCCCTGCTGGATCCCCTGTGCTAAGGCCCAGTGCTCAGCATGCTGGATGAACCAATGCCACCTCTCTGCCTCCCACCCAGCTGCTCCCATTCCTGGTTAGACATCCAGCAGGCACACTGCAGCTGTGAGTCCCCTACAACCTTCCCAATATGCTTCCGGGACACCCACTCCCATCCCAAACAATGGTTGTTAGGAGGTTCCATCTTCCTCAACCATTTCCAGGTTTTGTGTTTGTGGAAGACAAAGCTCTCTAGGAGTAAAAAAGGGAAGGAGGGTACAGCCCTGCCCCCTCACCGTGTGGCCCTTAACCTCACCCTAGGCAAAAGTAGCCTTCCCAATCTTTCCCTCCCAGGTCCCAGATCACTCAACACCTCTGGTGGTGTCACAGGCCAATCAGGGTCAGGGGACTCATCCAGGTAAGGAATCATAGGTGCTGGGCACCTACAGCAACACAGCCATACATCAGGATCTCACTGAGTCCTGTGACCTAGTTATTGTTTTTTTAGGTAAGGGCACTAGAGCTCTGTAGGTGAAATGGTTTGCCCAAGGTCACATAGCTGGTCAGAGTGAGGACACCTGTGATCCAGCACCATGGCTGCCAAATGACCAAGGATGTCACCCATGGCCCAAGAGCTAGAATTGAAGCATTTGCCTCCCAATCTGACACCCCTTCGCCATGACAAACCCACCGGGCCACAGACTCCACTGTGTCTGTGAGGGCACTGAATTCCTGTGAGGTTGGACAACAGACACCCTGGTCTTCTGCCCTACTCTCACAGTCTCACCATGGAGCACCTCCCTTCACCATGTCTCAGTTTCCCCATCTCTGAAATGCAGAAAGACTCTGCCTGTCCTTCCTTCCTTATGGGATTACTGTGACAGACAACAGAGGCAAAAGGTCTTGTGAACTGAAAGCCAGAGCAAGCATGAAGGGGAGGGGGGTTAATGATGGATGACAGTGACAGTGATGCCAAATATGCCCACTTCATCCCAGATACACAGCATCTCACCTTCCCCTGGGAAGATTCTCACTTCCTATTTCAGGGAGCAATAATTGACATCCCCTGTGCCCCACAAAGCGTCTGAGGCCTAGAGAGGCAACCATGGCCATAACAGCATGTACACTACACACATACTGCAGTCCAGAGTCAGTGCCACCAGCAGCACAGAGGCTCCTATATTAGAGGACACAGCATGGACAGTCATATCCAACAGCAGAGAGTCATGCTCAAGGTCACCCATATAGCACTGAGCACCCTCAGAGACACATATACATAATAATACAGGAATACTCCAGCAGGAGAGACCCAGGATCCTCCCCAGCCCAGAGGCTTGATGCAGAGGTGTGTGTGTGTGTGAAGGTGGTGAGGGAGGCATGGGACCAGCTTTTCTCCACAAGTAACATGAGCAATTAGAAACAGCTATGGAGCCTGGCCGGTGTGGCTTAGCGGTTGATCCAGGAGATCGTGGTTTGATTCCCATGCCCATGCCCAGGTTGTGGGCTCGATCCCCAGTAGGGGGCATGTAGGAGGCATGTAAGAGGCAGCTGACCAATGACTCTCTCATCATTGATGTTTCTCTCTCCCTCTCCCTTACTCTTTGAAATCAGTAAAGACTTTAAAAACAAAAAAACAAAACAAAAAACAGCTATGGAGCTGGAGGAAGAGGCATAGATAGCCCCTTTCCTTTGTCTTTCTTTAAGGATCCCACCCCTCCTAGGTAACTTCTCTGGCTATTTATCAACTAGTACCTTTTCCTAGAGGAGCCCTCCACCTCCTCTGCCTCCCCACAACACACATGCCTTCCTGTTGCTTGGAAGCCTAGGGACTGGCCTGACCAGACCAGGACAGCTGTGCAGGCTGGGCTAAAGAGGATTTCGTGAGGGAGGAGGGGAGAGACAGCAAGTGCCTTGTAACCCCACAGGGGACGGTTCAGAGCACAAAGCCAGATGCCTCTAAGAGTCTGGGCTGGCTTGCTCTGGCGCCCAGAGCTCTGCCCAGAGCTGAAAATCCCCCACAACCCTATAGGCTAGGTTTGGGCTGGGCCTTCTGCACAAGCCCCAGCTGGCCCCAAAAGGGACTTTACTCCTGCTCCCATCCCCCTGCCCCAAGATTAGCCAGCAGACTGACAGTCCTGAACACAGAGGGTTATCTCTTCTGGACCACCCTTGGTGGAGCCAGGACAATGGGCCCGACCGCCCTGGCCATGGAGCAAAGACAGGACACCAGGGAGGCATCCCAGCATCCATTAGTGGGTGCCTTGTTGGGTCAGCCTGATGCTGGGCCTATCACAGCCTCACAACACACACAGGAGAGGAGTAGTGTCACCTACCACTTCATAAGAGAAAATTGAAGCCCACGAGGTGAAATAATGTGCCTAAGGTTATGTTCAGCTGCCCAGGAGAAAGTAAGTGCACAGGCTCCCCAGGTGTAGAACCCTGCCCTGACCCCACCATGTATCTCCTCCGGGGTGGGACATCCCAGAGCAAGGGGACAGGAAGCTCCCACTCCTAACTCCGCTGCATCAGCCCCTCCTGAGCCCTGACTGGAGGTGGGGGGCGGGGGGAGTGTCCAACCACCTGCTGGGAGATCAGCTTTGCCGAGGGGCGTGTCTGCAGCTGCCCCTGAGGAATGGGACTGGAATGTCCCAGTTCTAAAAGAGGGGGCAGTGGATGAGGAGGGGCCCAGGAAGGGGGCATACCCTAGACCCCCTGCAACTCTTGAAGAGGCAGAGCCCAGTGTCCAACAATCCCTGCAGGAGTGATGCTCTGCCTCACTATGGCATCACTTACAGTTGCACAGCACTCTACAGTTTTCTTCAGCCTTTTCATTCTATCATCTCATCTCCACGAAAGCCACGTGGGGACAGGCAGAATAGTAGTTATCGTCACTCCATTTTACAGACTTGGAAACTGAGGCCCAGAAAGAGAAAGCAAGTTGCTCAAGAACCCAGTGACAGCAATCCCAACTCCCTGGGCAAGATCCTCAGGACTACATAAGGCTATCCCAGCCAGGGGTCACCACTGCCCTCCATGGGCACACACTGCTGTGTATGTATGTCTGGCCAGCTCCCACAGCAGCTTCTCCCAAGGGCCTGTGCAACCATGCTGGTTCGGATCCCAGTCCCCTTAGCCCAGAATCCCCCCTGCCTGCCCCTGGGTCAGGAAGAAATAGTGGCAGCACTGCTGCGTAGGGACTCTCAGCCCTGGAAGCAGCTAGCTCTAGAGGCGGTAGTGGGAGCAGGCCAGTCGAATTCATTCACAGTCTGGCACATACACACCCACACACAGCCACCCAGCACAAGAGCCCTGCCCAGGAGGGCCCTGGGAGGAGGCTGATCACCCAGTCCAGGATGGCCTCCTGCCTCTGCCTTCTCCCCAGGCCAACCAGAGAGAGGGTAAGGTGGTCAAGGCAGAGGGACAGCCAGGTCGAGCCCCTGGTGTAAAGGAGAACCCCAATCTGTTCTTGGGGAAGAGGGGTGCCAGGTGGAAAACATGGGTCCCAGTTCTATTTCTGTACACAACCAGAGCCCTGATTTCGGCTGGCCCTAGGTCAAGCCCTCACTTTGGCCAAAGGTTGTGGCCAGACAGGCACGGTGCTCTGGCCGCCAAGACCTGGAAGCATCGGGTACTGGGGTCCCTGGCTGCAAGCTGGCAGCTTCCGCCCGTACAGGGCAGGGGGTTGAAGGACGAAGGGGGTATTCCGGAGGGGGCGGGAGAGGTGTTTCATGGGGAAAGAGGAGAGGCGAACGAGGTAGGCATCCCTACTAAATTTGCTCCAGGAAGGCTGTGGCGGAGGCTAGGGCTCCCTAGAACTGCGGGAGGTCATCGAGCTACCTGGGGGACGGGAGGGGCTGTCTCTTCCAGGCGCCTCCCTGGGGCCTTCCTGGAGCCGTTGGGCTGGGAGACAGGCGGAGGTCAGGCTGCCGAGCCAAGGGCGTCTGCCCCACCCTGGCGCCGGCACGGGGGTCCCGACCGCGGCGTTGAGGAGCGCGCGTTCGCGGGGACTGCGGAAAGCCGCATAACCGGCTGCCCGCCCCTCCGGCGGAGCGTGTGGGTCGGTCCCTCATCCC